GAGGCATGCTTTATTTATTTGTTTGCTGGTTTGTTTGTTTTTTTTGTTTATACATGCACTGGGTACAGTCAGAAGCGCGGGAGGGTGAGAGAATTCACCAGAGCCAGAGCGGGGAGCAGAGCAGGCAGAAGGACCGAAGTACACTGCTGAGGGGAGCAGCGGGCGGCAGGAGAAGTCTGCACGCCATGTGGGACCCTCCTCCGGTGGCCGGGGAGCAGCCGGGGATCGAACCGGCGCCGCAGAGGCCGCGGGCAGCTTCGCAACCCAGCGCTCAACCGCTGCGCCACCGGGGAGGCCCCCCTTCATTATTATTTTGAAACATATTTCAGACATCTTTCACCATAAATATCTCATTATGAAGTTTAAAAGAAAGATTTTGTTATATGATAATTATTGTTATTATTATTATTATTATTGAAGTAACACTGGTTTACAGCACTGTATGTGATTCAGCAGCTAAGGACCACACCTCTTCAGATACATGTCACCACACCCCAGCCACTACCAAGGCACCCACAGTCTTCCACTATAGTCCACTGTGCCTTCTCCCCACTTTGTTTTCCCCCCTTCACTTTCACCTCCCACTTTGATAGGCCCAATTCTACAGTCATATTTCTTGGGATTGTTATTTGTCTGGCTCTTTGTTTTGTTCCTCTATATTCCACATATAAGTGAAACTATTTAGTATTTGCCTTTCTCCTTCTGACTTATTTTGCGTAGCATTTTCCTCATCCAGTTCCATCCAGGTTATTGCAAATGGCAAGAGTTCATCTTTTGTTATAACTGAGTAGTATTCCATTGTGTATATATGCTACATTTTTCCAATCCATTCTTCTGCCCCGGGAACTTACGTTGTTTTCATAACTTGGCTATTGTAAAAAGTGCTGCAAGGAACATAGGAGTGCGTATGTCCCTCTGAATTAGTGTTTTTGCATTCTTCTGACGGGAGTGAAATTGCTGTATCACGTTAGATCTATTTTTATTATTTCATAAAGGCTAGACCAGTTTTCATTCCCACCAACAGTGTATGTGGTTCCTTTTTCTCCACATCTTTGCCAACACTTGTTGTTTCTGGACTTTCTGATATGGGCCATTCTCACAGGTGTGAGATGGTATCTCATTGTAGTTTTGATTTGTATTTTCTTGATGATTGTGATGATGAGAATTTTTTAACATGTCTGTTGGCCATCTATATGTTTTCTTTGGGGAAGTGTCTATTTAGCTCATCTACCCACTTTTTTTTTGATTGGGTTATATTTTGCTGTTGCTGAATGTATCAGTTCTTTGCAGGGTTTGGATATATATGATATACAAATCATATATTTCTTCATTTCCTTATCAAAAGCCCCTAATAGGATCTCAGCCTCCAACATGGCACAAGGTATAGGGCTACCTCTGTTGACACGGCTGGTTCTCAAGTCCTCAGGGGCAGTGCTGGAGCTCAGCCCTGGACCACCAATGACATCGGCCCCTGCCATCAAGATTCCCACAGGCCACTCAGCCACCTCTTTAGGGGACACTTCATCACCATGCCTACTCATCTGTAGAGGAATTCTGTTAGGAACTACTTACTGCCAAAGGGAGCCAGCCCCTAACTTGAGCCACTTTCCCTGCACCCATGGGACAGGATTCAAGCCCCCTGAGGCACTCACAGAAAAGCTTCGGGGAGGTCGATGGGTCAACCCTGGTGAATGGCCAATCTCTTTCATCCCCCTGCAGGCACAGGAGTCCCAACAGCCTGTGGTGTCTTGTGAGTCTGCAAAGCTGTCTGGAGGAAGGGTGCTGTGCTGGGTAAGTCTGCCTTCGCAAGCATATGGTCTAACAGATGCAAAGCTTAGTCCGCTTTGCTATGTAAGGAAGGTGATTTAATTTCTAGTTCTACATTGGATTATCACCAATGTTGTTTCCTGTTGTAGAAATTGCTCCTCTCTGCTTTTTTAAAAATTATTTTCTCCCTCTGTCTTAGACAAATAATACAAGGAAGGTGATTTGAGTAAAAAAAAAAAAAAAAGTGAAAAAATCAAAGGAGACATGCTTTAAAACCACAAACCTGAGAAAGGGGGAAGTGCGGGAGAGAGGTTTTTTCTGTTTTTAATTGCAGGTGTATTACACACCAAGTGCTTTAAATGTAAATTGTGACACCAAAAATTCTCTGCCCAGCTTCTGGTGTTTATACATTTAAATCCGTATGTGTGACTTTAATAGTGTCAGTATATTAATTATCTGCCATATGGCCTGTTTATTTTAAATACAGCTTCTGAATTAGTGAATTTTTATGTGTTTTCATTATGTTTTGTCTTGTTAATATGTCTTTTTTCCCCAAAAAATCCTAGTGGAAAGAAACTCAAAATTCATTTTGAGAAGCTTAATCTCTGAAGTTGAAAGAGATAAAAATGTGCTTCCTCTCATAAAGCTATTTGTTTGCTAACCTGAATTCATTAAAGCATTCCAGATGCAGAAGTCCAAGACTCATACTTTGAAGTCCAAAATTTAAGACTCCAAAAGATAAAAATTTAGGAATCTTTTTTTTTTTTTTGGGAAATGACAAAAGTGTGTATATAAATAGATTAAAATAGCAAACACACACATAACACTTATTAAAAACCAGGTATTATTCTAAGCATTTACATGTATTAACTCATTTAATCTTTATGATAATTTTAGGGAGTAGGCACTACCATTATCCCATTTCATGGATGAAAAAAGGGAGGCTCAGAGTGGTTTAATAACTTGTTAAGTGTCAAACATTAGCATGGTAGAGCTAGTCCATAAGCCCAAACTGCCTGCTTTCAGAATCACTTTTGTTGAAAAAGAGGTCATCCCCCTAGCACACACAGGTCCCTCAAGGCACCTGACTTAAGTCCTTGTCTGGATATGAGGTTCATGAGTTAAGAAACTCCTGCAGATGAGAATAGCAAATGTGCAGAGAGGGTAGGTAACTTGCCCCAGATGATGCAGCTGGTATGTAGTCAGACAGGTTTTGTTTTTTTTTTTTTAAGAAATTGCACAACACCAAGGACATATTGAAATGAGCTCTTTGTTTGTTTTTTTAATATTTTATTTTATATAATTCTTACATCATTTTTCATCTTTGCACATTGTATGCATTTTCATTATGGTTATATTCCCCATACAATTGCACCCCCCCTTATTTTGACTCTAGTCCTTCCTCTCCCGGCCCATCTCTCTGCCCACCCACCCCCATTGTAGTGAAATGACCTCTTTGTTAATAAAGTTCTTAGAAGAAAATAATTCAGTAGCTTTCTAAAATCACCAGCTATGTAAAAGCACACCTATAAAATAAACCATTCTACAAGCAAATATAAGACGGTGACAGTGTTATGGAAATAATGTAATTCTTACACTCCATAATTTTGAATCTCATTGCTCATTGAGATTATACACATGGAGGTTTACAAGTTTGATT